AGAGAGAGAGAGAGAGAGAGAACACCTCGTCTAGAATTGCCTGGAAAGGGACACAGTGCTTTGATTCAGCTCTGGCCGGGGTGCGGTGACCGTGGCTCGAACTGAAACTTCTTGCCGCAGGTCGCCGATCATGGACGTCATTCCGTTCAGCAACAACAGCCAGTCCTAGCTCTTGGGTGCTCGCAGAAAACAAGGGCGATTAAAGCATGGCGAAACCCCTCCAAAAACGGCGGGAACGGCAAAGTCTTCGCTCCTCCGTCTCGGCGGTCTGCGTCCCACTTCCCGATTGAAGGTCATCGGCCATCTGCCTGTGGGCTCCAGCACAAGATCTCTCTTCTAAGGCGCAGCCGACATTCTCCCCTTCTCTCTTCTGCTGCATCTGTTGCCATACACCATACTTGCGTCGCTGCACAGCTCAGCCAAGATGTTACAATGTTGTGGCTACTTGGAACAGCTGCGGCCAGGCCATGATGTCGGGAAACTTGGAATGGCTCCCCGTTCAAGGACTCCGGGTCCGGATCGGAAGGCTTCCGGTCGGAGCGGTCCGACACAAAAGGCGTCGGCTGCTGCTGCCCATCATGGACGGTGCCCTACCCTTTTTGCGATTTAAACCGATTTTTATGGCAGCCACGCAAGCCACGCAAGCCACGCAAGCCACGCCTCAACATCCCCAGGGCTTGGAAGCTGATGGCAGCGAACCGACAGTGGCCGAAAGCCAGCAGGGCATGCACGCTCTTGGCAAAGTTCCTGCAACTGCGAGGCGAGGAGTCAAGGAGAAAGGGGTGAAGGAGGGCGAGGGCTCTCCTCTTGTCCAGGTGGCACCTTGAAGCCACGGCGATCTTCATGATGGCAAAGGCGGCGTCTAAGACTTCCTGCGAGCGGAGCAGAGCGGAAGGTGAACCGCGCAAAAAGACATTTAAAAAAACGACGCGACGAGTGGAGGGAGGGTGAAGGGGTGCGGAGGGCGCCTTGTTGGACTTGGGCTCCGAGGCCGCCAGCTGCAGGATCTGGAAGACCTCCCCGGGGCCCAAAGTTCGGAGACGACTAGAAGGGAGAAGAGCTACTATATAGGAGCCGAGGCGCTGCACTGGGCCTGCTAGGGCCTATATAGAGCTAGCAACGACCATGTCCATTTTCTAACCACTAGCCCACCCCCCTGGCACCCAAACCATAACAACCCATGCCTCAACCCTCAATTCATCAAAAATCCCAACCTGAGACCCACGTGATGGAACGAACCACCAGAAGAACCATACACCACCACATAGAAAAAAACCAACATCAACCCCATAGACCTGCGCCTTCATAGAAAAACCCGATAGTATCCACCCGAAATCCCTAACCCTTGAAAAGGGTTTTCGGGTTAGGGTTGCAAGGTTACGAGTTAGGGTTCATCCAAATCCCTCGGCAAGCTTCTTCGTCACAGCCTCAGCACCCGCCACCCGATTTTGCATGGCTAGCTGCCGCAAACAGGCTTTTGTCAGCAACATGTTCATATTCAGCTTTGCTGAAAGTTTCTGGTTCCATGGTATGGGTAGTGGGGTTTAGGGCTTTTTGGTGAGTTTAGGGTGTTGGGTCTTCAGGTCAGTTCTTCCTACGGGCCTTTAAAGGTGGGGTTGAGGCAAAGGCTTTGGGGGGGGGGGTTTTGGGGGTGGTGTGCATTTTTTTTTTGGGACTTCGGGGGACTTCGTTCGGGGGACTTTTTAAAATCTCGGCTCTCAGCTCTCAAAGGCCTGCGCCCAGCCCGCTTTGATGGAGCTGCTCCGGTGCTCCACCTGAGCAAAAATGCAAGAAAAAGCTGCTCAGAAAGCTGCTCAGAAGAGAGCCGCGGAGGCCCCCTTTTTTTGGGGTGCTCTGCCCTCTCTCTCCTCTTTGTCTTTCAGAGCTCCCCGGCCATGAAGTCGACACTCGAGACGACGAGCCCCTGCGCGGGAACGCCGCTAAAGCTCAGAGCTCGAGCACCGCCGCTCTGGCCTTCACGTCGGGACTGGCACTCTTGGATTTCATTAACTTCTCGAAAGGCTCCAGCAGGACTTGCCCAAAGGCTTCCTCTCCGGCAGATCAGAACCATCCAAGCCGCAAAAGAAAAAAGAAGAGCGCTGCCGTCCTGCTGATGCACTTCCTCACGTTCCAAAAATTTCATCGCCAGCTGCTTTAAGCAGTTGATGGCATAGAGACCTGAAAGCAACACTAGCACTAGCACAGATCACCAGGCGCCCAAGCGCAAAGCGGCGCGGTGTGTCGTGCCTATACTGACATTGTGGTGGCTTGCAACGTCGGCCAGATGCCGGCTGACAGTTCGCCAAATTTCCGACCAAACCTGCAAAGAGAGGTTCCAGGCATTGCATGACCACGAGGCATGAGCCATTGCCTCCGGCGGGCGCATCAAGTTACCAATGGCAACCTGACGGAGCAAAAGCAGGGACCCGAAATGGCTGCAAGCTGCCGAGAGGAGACAGAGAGGGGACCGAGTTTCAAGTCGCGCCTCGACCAACTTCTGCAGCGAAAAAATGCCTCGAAAGGCCGCAAGGGCAAAGGTCGCCCGTTTCTAGTGTTGGCCTGTTGCAACGAGGCTCTGGCGCGGCATCTCTTCACAGGCCAGCTCCTCCTGAGAGCCGGAAAAGAACGGGGACAAAGGGGACATGGAAGGACGCAGAGCAGAGTCTCACGAATCGCTCGCCTTGGAGACCTGCGGCGCGCAACAGCGGAGCCGCAGGAGGAGCGTTTCAAAAGCTGCGCTGGGCCCGGCCTGGATGAGCTGGCTCAGGAAGTGCAGCACCGCCTTCAGCTCCAACCCCGCGGACCTGCCCGGGAGCGGGAAACAAAAGTAAATGAAACGCGGCACGCCTCCTCCTCCTCCTCCTCTCCTCGCGTCTGCTCGACCTCTCTCGCCCGAATGGGGGCCTGTCGAAGAGGAGGTCGATCTGCGCCGCGTCGATCTGCGCCATCACGGACTCGGCGTTCAGCAAATCCAGGCGCGACTCCTCCAAGCTCACCGTCATCACGGCCGAGAAACCTCCGGCCGCAAAAGGCGAAAGAAAGAGAGAGAGAGAGAGAGAGAGAGAGAGAGAGAGAGATGCTCTGTTCAAGAAGTCTTCGCCCCTGCTGCTGTGCGGCCCTGGCCTGTGCCGTAGGAGCGGTGCCGGAGGCTCGCCTGAGGCGTGCCGGTGCCGAAGCTGCCGTTGGTGGACCCGCTCTTCGCCTCTTTCGCAAAGAACTGGAAGTCCTGTGCCCAACACCACCACAGTACAAGACCCGAAGCAGAGAGAGAGGGGCGGAGGCTGAGAGCCTCTCGAAGAGGATAGCGCTGGACCGCCAGAGCCAGCGCTATAGCTAAGCTCTCTCTCAGTCTCTCTCTCTCTCTCTCTCTCACAGTCTCTCTC